AGGACGTGAGTGTGGGGTGCATATCCCCCTTTGCTATGTGAACTTGAACCAGTAAGAGGCCTTGAAATAGGGCCATCTGGTCACCTACACTGTGCAGGTGGGTCAGAACATGGCCTACACACACTCCCCAGCACTTACTCTCAGATCAGGTTTTTTCTGTTCTTTTGATTCCAAGTCGCTTTCATTCTGTAGTGAAATCAGGGACTATTACCTGGTGGCTATTGTTTCTCTTCATGTCTTAGCTGGAAAAATGGAAACTTCTCAAAGTTTTGGGAGGCAGCATGAGCACCCAGCATCCTCACCCCTCATTTTTGCCAGTTTCCTGGTCTGTAAAGTCTGGGTCGCCTGATGTACCAGAGCAATGTGCATATACAAACCCACAGTGATGACCTCTGGTGAGCTAAGCCTCACTGCATGTTTTCAAAGGGGAAAAATTGGCAAAGCCCCTATTAGCAGAGCAGTGATCAGTTTTCATTGTTTCCGGTCTCATTACAGATCTGATCGGCCGAGAATATAAAATGTATTAAAGTTCCCTAATGACATTAGAGTTGGGTGATCCTTACATCTAACTTTCTCAGACCTCTAATCACAGCAGAAAAAATTAAATTAATTGCAGGGCACTGTCACCGTCATCTTGTTGCGGGAGGTTAGTTATCTCGTTGTTCAGTGTAATCAGCTGGCCGGCACACACAAAGGAGGTCTCTGCATTCTGTCACTCTGGTTTGGAGAGCAGTCTGGTCCAGCTCTGATTAACTCCATGAATGCTTTCTGTCCATGCTGACCTGGGAACCCCTGGCATTCAGAGGCAGGAGCAAACTTGGGAGGTGAACCAAGGTGGAGCTCACACCGTCTCACTCCTACAGACGTGTGTGTGCACAGCTGCCACTGCAGGGACAGCACCCGCCCAGGTCAGCCCAGAGGGGTGAGAGCCCCTGAGTCCAAGCACCAACAGCAGCAGCAAGCGCTTTGACCGGGAGAGGAGTGACAGGAGGCACTCAGGGCACACGATGCCATCAAACACAGAAGGTTGTGCAGCCCCACACACCACAACAGGTTCAAGGTCATGGGCATGTTTGAAACTGAACTTCCCTTCTAATCGCCATGGCTGTGAGTGGCTGAGTGGGGCGAGTCACCGACGCTCTCAGTGTGGGAGTTAGGAGAGCGGACTTCAGCTATTGGCAGAGTGAATAACATGTGACCCACTCCCCTGTGGTCTATTTTAAAAAGCAGAACTGGGCGTTGTCCATATGCATCCTGATTTATTGCACCTGGAAGAAGCCATGGGGGGCGGGCACCCTGAGTGTCTGCCTGCCTGCCTGCAAGGGGTGACTTCGGTGGGAACAGCTGGGTTCAGGGCGTAAGCAGGGCCACCATTGCCTTTTGCTGGAGCCCCTCAGTCTTGACAGCTGTCAGTCTTGGCCCACAGTCAACACCATCCCTGATGTCACCATCCTGTGATTTTAATATCCCCACCTTCCAAGGGCCGGTGCAAACCCACCGAAGTTTTCTGGGCCTCATTCTGGAAATAAGATCAAAGGGTTACTGGGGTGGTTTTTTGTTGTTGTTTTTATTATATTTTATTGATTTTTTTACAGAGAGGAAGGGAGAGGGATAGAGAGTTAAAAACATCGATGAGAGAGAAACATCAATCCGTTGCCTCTTGCACACCCCCCACTGGAGATGTGCCTGAAACCAAGGTACATGCCCTTGACCGGAATCGAACCTGGGATCCTTCAGTCCATGCTCTGTCCACTGAGCCAAGTCAGAGTGGGTTATTATTTTTTAAAGACATTTTCTTGCAGCTCCTGGGGAACATGGGCGGAGTACTGTCAGTGACGCTCCGGCCACGTCAGATCCCAGCCTCACACTGCGCCACAGGCTCGGTGACCAGCGTCTCCCTGAGAGTTAGGCACTGGCTGTAACAGGATTAAAGCTGATATTAATTGACAAATTAGCACTGCACTTGGCCTTCCAAAACCACAGCACATCCGCAGATTCCGACGTCCCCCTCCCCTTGTGCGCGGGAGCAGCTACTTTCAGGGCACCAATGCCCATCCCTGTGCCTCACAAACGGCCACATTCAGGGACACAAAGCCCAACTGTGGTGAACACGTTGGTATTCAGATGCTCTCGTGTTTGGTGAATGCATGGAACCCAGTACAATGCGGCACTTGTTATCCTCCACATTTGCATGATGCATATGAGCCGCAGAAGCTGAAGCTCAGCTAGGAAGCCGGGCTCTTTCTGTGGGACCTAGGAATTAGCTTTGCCCCCCGCAAACCCTGCAGCCCTATGCCAGCTACAGGTTTCTTCCTGCGATGAGACGTGTTCACAGGTGTGTTGTAAACATTGGTGTCCCTCGTGGTTGAGTTGATTCAGTGCTGGGTTCGACGTGCCGTGTTTCCAAGGCGTGAGCATGGCCGCATCAGGCAGCTCTCCAGGGAGCATGGGTGAGGTCACGGTGGTCCTGGTGCCAACTGGGCTTCCTAACTTGCAAGAGTTCATGATATTTGCTTGGAGTAAGTTACTGTGCTTTGCAAATACAGGCCAGTTCGTCAACTGCATGACAACTGTCCCTCATGGGACAGCCTCTTGACCCATCTAACTACTTATCCACCCACCTACCACTTACTGAGGATCTAATGTGCACCTAGTGATTTTAATGAAAGAGAGTAGAACTCTTAGCTTTCTGCTGTTTATGTGTGTGGAAGTATGTGTTGTGGACATACAACCCTCTCAAATACAGGTGACAAAGGAAATGACCCTGCATCACGTGGCCTGCACAATCATCCCTGGATGGTCCCCTTCCTCCCCACCCAGCCTCCCTCATCTCTTCTAGAGAGATGAATGGGCAGCCCCTCGCCCTATGCCCAGCACAGTCTGGCCGGTCCACCATCTCCCACCACATCTCTCCCCTCCCCACCTGCTCCCACCTCAGATTTCAGGCCTCTGTTTCTTCCTGGAGCACACACTGAGCTTAGTCTGCCCAGGCCCCGTCCTGGGGTTCTTTCCTCCCTAGTAGCACCCCCAATACTCACACGGCCATAGTCTCCTTCCCCCCATGTCCCTCTAGGGGCCTTCCTGTCCCCTATCCTGCTCTGTTTTCTTTCATATTATAACTTGGTATGAAATTACATATTATATTCACTTCCTATGGCTGTCATAACAAATTACCACAAACTGGATGACTAAAAACAACAGGAACTTATTTTCTTACAGCCTGTAGACCAGAGGCTGAATCAAGTTGTCAACAGGACCACACTCCCGAAGGCTACAGGGGAAGGTTGTCTCCTACCTCCTGGTGCTCCTGGCAAGCCTTGGTATCCTTATCTTGTAGACACTTCAGCTCAGTCCCTGCTTGTGTCATCCAGCAGCCTCTTCCTCATGTGCCTGTGTCCAAATCCCCTCTTAGAAGGACACCAGTCCTCAGACCAGGGCCCACCCTCCTCCAGTGTGACCTCAGAGTATCTTGATGATACCTACAAAAGACCCTATTTCCAAATAAGGTCACATTCGTAACAGGGGTTAGGATGTGGATGTACTGTTTGGAGGGACATTATTCAAACCATACATACATCTTTATCTATGTTCATGAGATAAGGTCTCATCTTGTTCATCACTGTAACCCAAACATCTGGCACAGGACGTTACACTTATTAGGCACTCAGTGAATGTGGATGGGTAGATAGGTAGATGGGTGGATGGGTAGTTAGATGGGTGGGTAGATGAGTGGGTAGTTGGATGGATGAATGGGTGGGTGAATTGGATGGATGGGTGAGGGGGTAGATAGGTTGGGGGGTGGATGGGTGGATGGATTGATAGGTGAGTGGAAGGGTGGGTAAATGGTTGGATAGGTGGGTGAATCAGTGGGTGGGTGGATAGATGGGGAGTGGATGGGTACATGAATAGGTGGGTAGATGTATGGGTATGGGAGTGATTGGTGGGTAGGTGAGTTGGGGTGGGTGGGTGGATGGATTGATGAGTGGGTAGGTGGATGGGTGGGGAATGGATGGGTGGAGGGGAAGTAGATGTGTGAGTAGGTGAATGGGTGGATGGATAGGGAGTGACTGAGTGAATAGGGAGGTGGATGAGTGGATAGATGGATGGATGGATGGATGGGGAGTGGATGGGTAGATGGATAGGTGGGTGGCTAAACAGATGAATGGCTGGATATGTATTGGGTAATGTCAGTGAACAGATTGTCAGACAGTTAGGTGAATGGGCAGTATTACAGGAAAGTGTGAGTAAACCACATCCTTGTAGATGAGTAATAAAGCTCACAGGAAATTCATATTCATTGATATAAACCTAACTTATAACTTGAGATCAAAACAGCTGTATTGCCATTCTTGGGAGAAACGCTGTATTTTTTATAAAAAGCAATGAACTGGGACACAGCGTGAAATGCCCTATTTCCTCGCGGGCATCCGCACTGTTGTTGCTCCCAGTGCAGAAGTGGGAACACAATGTCCTGACTGAGCATTTCACGTGGGGCCTCCGGTGGATTCTGGGCAGGAATTCTAAACGCTCGTTTCTCTGAGGCAGGAATTGCAGAAAGCCGTGGGAAGCTCCCTTTCCACCAAGAACACTGCAAATACCTTTTGTCAAATAAATGCTCCCAACACGTTCGCTTAGGCCCCAGGGGCTTTCTGAGCCTATATGTCCCACAAAAGTGCCCACCATCCAGGGCTCTCCAAACGGAGCCGGGGCAGCACCCAAGGGAGCCTTTGACAGGATCGCTCTGTGCTCAGTCGCTTTGCCAGAAAGGCCCCTGCACCTTGTGTAGGGCCCACCTCTGGAGTGGCAGGCCCTTCCCGGGCCCTGGGGCACAGAAGCAGCCAGGCTGCCCGGCCCAGGCTGGTGCCGAGGCAGATTGGCCGCGGCTCCATGGCCCAGGGCTCTCTGTGGGTTTTGTAGGAGACCCGCGGAGCATGGGGAAGAAAGCGGCATTGTCCCTCGGCTCTGCACGGCCCTCATTCACATCTCACTGTTGTTTGCAGGAGAGGCAGATGTGGGCCAGAACAATGGGCCCCCCTCTTGGGACACAGCGGTGACAGACTCCAAGCGCACAGCGGACCCAAAGAATGCCTGGCCGGACGCCAACCCAGCTGACCCCGGCGGCCGCCCCCACTTGATCCGCCTCTTCTCCCGAGATGCCCCGGGGAGGGAGGACAACACCTTCAAAGACAGGCCCTCGGAGTCAGACGAGCTCCAGACCATCCAAGAGGACAGTGCAGCCGTTCCCGAGGGCCTGGATGCAATGGCGTCACAGAAAAGACCCTCCCAGAGGCACGGATCCAAGTACCTGGCCTCCGCCAGCACCATGGACCACGCCAAGCACGTCTTCCTCCCGAAGCACAGGGACACGGGCTTCTTCGACTCTCTGGGGCGCTTCTTTGGAGGTGACAGGGGTGTGCCCAAGCGGGGCTCGGGCAAGGTGAGCTCTGAGGAGTGAGGAGCCTTTAGTGTGAATGGAAAGGAGGGAGTCCGCGGCATCCTGAGCCACAGAGGCGATGCTCTTGGCTGTGTAAGGTGTCGTCCTTTCGTGGGAGGGGCCAGGGCTGCTGCTCCTGTGATTTCCACTTAACTCACCCTCTTCCTCCTCATTTTACGAGGGATTGTCCTTAGGATGTGGCTCGGGGGCGCAAAGTCATATTTGAGGTCTGCATCCCTGGGGCGGGGTGGACGCAGCACTGCCCCATGCCCACGGGTCTCCTGGGTCTTACCCTCAGGCTTTGTAGCTGATTTTGCTTCTGCTGCCCACGCTTTGGGCTTCACCAGCGGGTCATGCTCATTTTTTTTCTTGGGGGCCTGCGTGCGGCTCGAGTGGTGTTGCTTTGCCACAATAATGTGATTGAGGTCTTTGGAGCAAGCTCGCTACTTAAATTTGCCTTGAGCAAGCCTTCCTCCTCCTCCGAGTTGTTTAGGGGAAGAGGGTGGAGGGATAAGCGCGTGTATCTATGAATCAAAGATGTATTATTTTGTGATTCCATTCATTTGGATACAGAGTCTATGAAGTTTCATTATTTAAATGTTCTGTAGATTAAAATGTATCCCAAGGAAAACCGTCCCTCCTGTGGGCCAGTTTCCGACAGTGTGTCCCGGACGTGGTGGTGAATAGCTCCTCTGTGGCAAGAGTGTCATGAATCCCCAAGTGGCATTCCGAGAGCACACACATGGCATGTCACGTGGCTTGTTGGGGTGTTGGGTGGCCGGGTAACTGGAAAAGGAGGGAGGTTTTCAAAAAAGCCCCCAGCTTATTGGGTGCACTCACAGTCCCTGTAAAATGCAGCTTGCCTTCCGGCTGGGACTGTGCCTGTTCAGCAGGGCCTTGGGGAGTGTGAGACGCTTTGAGCATGGGGCAGAGGGACCTCGGCCTGGGAACAACACCCCCAAATGCTGGGCTACTGAGTTAAGGAGTTTCTAAAATGTGCTTTTGTCTGCTCTGACTACCGGGCTGAAATGATTGGCGATCGTGAACTTGTTTGAGATGACACATGTCAGTGGTGAGATGTGACAGGGCTTGGGGTTCCAGGCAAGGGTCACATCCTCGCTTGCCGTGGCTCTAGGTGAATAACACCTGGTATTCCTAAAGGCTTGTGGCCTTCATCTCCGCTTGGTTCCTCCAGTGGCTGTCTGTAGCCACGTCCCTTACTTTGGGCGTCTTCCCTTCCCCTGCAGCGTCGGTCATCTGACCCACTTCTAATGCTAAAGGCAATCTGAGCTGCTTTTCCAAGCACACTGGACCTGGCTGCCCACGGGAGGCTCGCTCTCGTGCTGGGCAACCCATGTGCATGCAGCATCGCCAGTTCTGAAACCTTAAACTCCTCCAAAGGGCAGGAAAAACCTACGTAAATGTGCAGAAAAGATTCAATAACCTGAGAGCATATATTATAAAATGAGCTTCATTCCAGGGTCATGGTTTGTTAAAATAAAATTGTGAAAGCTTTTATCTCCGTCGTTGTGACTTTATCACAGAATGGATATGTAAGCACAATACACGATTTTCACCCTTCAGGTAGAATTACAACTGTTATTGCTTTAAGTCTCTTATGTGCTTCAATATTTTCAAAGAATAGTTTCTTTGAAAAGATTCTAGATTCTAGTTTCAGGAGTAAGCACTGGCTGTGCAAATAGATTGCCAGATTACCAACAATTCCAGATAATCGGAACATTCACACAGGACTTTTAAAAATAGAAAGTGTTTAAGTAATTTTGTGCTAGACTTTTGGAAGTACCCGTTGTGTTCGCTGCTGACTTAGGAATAAAGGCTTTAAAATGATCAGCCTTTTGCCCTTTGATGCCCAAGACATTGATCAGTTTGCCGCAGAACCGGGCGGTTGCTCATGACAGACACGGGGCAGATACCTCCTGTGCAGGGTCCTGGCGGAGAGGATGAGTGAGAACTCCTGGCAGTGTTTATTCAGCTCACCTGCTATTGTCAGTCTTCATTTGCTTTTAAACACTGGAAAGGTGAGCCTAATCCACTGCACGCCCAGCAACACGCCCACAGGGCCCCAGAGGTGTGTGGACTTGAGTGCGGTGAGCTGCTGGGGGGCTCCGTTCTGGTTTTGTTTCTCCTTTGCTCTGTTTGTAACTCTGGAGAGCTCTCGCTTTAGATGCCAGAAGGTTACTTTGGGTTGAAGCTTGAAAATAAGGGAATCCCAAGGCCTGGCTCTTGTCCACAGAGCCCATGTCACCATTTCTAAGATAAGCGCTCAAGGGTCACAGAATGCTGAAGGGTACCTGCAGGCCTGGGTGGTCTCCTGCTCTGACAGGCATGTGTCTGGAAAAGCAGCTGTTCGGTTCGCCCAGCTAGAGTAGGTTTGCTGGTAGAATTGTGCAGGATGGCTCAGAGCCATGCCTGGACAGAGACAGGGGACTGTGCTGCTCTGGGCACCACCACAACCCCCCTCCCCGTTCTGGGCTGTACCGGGACCGCCCCCAGTCCTGGGAATGCACTCCACACCTACTCTCTGTGTGGCAGGGACTTGACATTCAAGGAAGGGACATTATAAATTCCTTGAGGAGGCAGAATCTTTGGGAGCCACCGTGAAAAGTGCATTGACGGAGAACACGCTCCTTTGTTGGAAGAGGGAAGAGAGGGCTGTTGCTGGCTAAGCACCAGCCCCCGGATGTGGCGCCGGTGAGGCGTGCTGGGCATTGAGGACGAGATCGGATGAGCTGATGGGTTTGGAAAGGGTGTCTCTCTGCGGCCGCATCCTCCCCTCCTGCTCTGTGGAGCCTGCGTCACTCCTGGGCCAGGGCTGGGCCGCGGCTGCTCAGGCCTCCCTGGCCAAAGCCCGGGAGCCCAGCTGTGGAGACTGAATGTGTCCCTCTTTGGGGGGACCAAGTAGGAAGGTTTATAGGTAACCCTGGACAGTTTCCAGATGAGGTGCCCGGGAGCACAGATCCGTTCCTCCGTCTCGGCACACTTCTAAACAGGGTCCGCCCTGATGCTTTTACCTATTTTATTCTCCTCACTCTGCCTTCACAGCCAGGTGTGGAAGTGTTCCGTCATTCAGTGTTACTTCTGTACCTCGAATGTGGGTCATGTGAAGCATTGCCATTGAATGCGATGGGGTCGAATCAATCTTGTCTATTTAACCACAGTGTTCTGTTTCCTGATTTTTATTTTTTTTGCCACTGCATTTTAATTTCATTAAGCCACATTTCAGTTCTACAGTAACTTAATTCTTCACTGATAACATGATAGCCTAATTGTGGCGGCATACTCTGTAACCCTGTGGGGAGTGGAACCCTGGGAGAAGGCACGGAGGACACAGTGGGACGCAGCTTAGTGGCGCCGTCACCCTGCACGGGTGCCCGGTCCCGGGGTCTCCACCAGGGGCCCTGCATGCACTCCCTTCCGTGCAGTGTGTGTGCTCACAGGCGTGCAACAGTGCACCTGGAACCACACGGAGTCTCCGTGTGAGTCGGTGGCAACGACCCTGCCGCTCGGTGCACCCGTTTGCCAAAAGATCTTTCTAGAAGAAAGCCTAATGTGGTGGTGGGTGCATTTGCTTCTGCACCCCAACAAAAATGTTTGGAGATTTCCTCCAGGGATTCGTTTTGAAATGTCATTTCCCTATCAGGTTTTGATCAAAGTTGTCCCCAGCTAAGCCGCCAGCTCCTGACTGTGTCCTCTGCCGTCCCCACACCACAGTTAAATTAGTACCCTTGTCAGCGGAGGTCCCGCCATGTCCTATCAGGGACATGTCTGTAAAAACTGTGACGCCCTGAGTGGCTCCCAGTGATTATGTTCCAGTTTGATTTTGTGATGACATTTTGCTTGTTATCTGTCTTTGTTTTTGTGCATTCATTAAACATGTTCACAGAGGATGGTGTACTAACTGCATGTGAATTTTTTAAGTTGTCCTCTCTGGTGTCCCTCCCTTACTAAGCACATTTGTTCCTGGTGATTCCGTGGCTTCTGATCCAGTTGCCGACAGGTGAGTCCGGGGCCCAGCACCTGCCTGGGTACCTGAGGTCACAGCTCCTCCCTCGTCCGCCTTCATCAAAGACGTGACTCCTTTGTCTCCGCAGACAGTCAGCGTCTGGTCCTGCTGCCAGGGCTGCTGGGTTCTGCCTGAGGTTTCCGTGTCGCCCTCAGAGTGCTGTCCTCACACAGAGGGAAATGGCGCTATGTAGACGCAGGTCCTGTGTGCCTGCCACACCAACACAACAGCATTGGCTGCGTGTCGTGGGGTGGGGTGCACTCGGTGGCAGGGGGACACTCGGGAACCTGGGGTCAGGGGCTGGCTCTTCCCAGGACGGCTGAGAGTCTCAGAGGCGGCTGAGAGTCTCAGAGGTTACGGGTGAGCATGGGGCCCCTGGCAAACTAGACGTGAACGCAAAGATGTAACAAACTCCCCCTGGTCTTTCGTCCTCGGTGCACACGTCCCGCACAGACCCTTCCACTTTCCTCTGGGTAACGGGCAACTCTGACGAGCTGGTGGAGAGTCGAGCCTGACCTGGGCAGACTGTCACATTAGGGAAAACCACCCACGGAGTCCACGTGGAAATCATAAAGGAATTGAGGGAGCGTTAGGAACTGTGGGAGTCTCTCATCAAAGACTCTAGTGAGGTTCTTAGAGGTTCCCACGGTGTCTCACTAACTCCTAAATGCTCTAAAGGCACCCCAATTCACAGAAAATAGTAAAAAAAAAAAAAAAAAAAAAAAAAAAAAAAAAAAAAGCCTTCTGAGTCCCATTAATGCAATCCGGACAAGCAGGTCTCGGCACGAGGCTGCCCTGCCTTAGTCTCCAACTTGTCGGGGCCTGGCTCCTGTTCCCACTCTTTCCAGGAGGACGCTCTGCTTTTCTGAGCAGGCCGACACCTCTCACTGAACAGACAGAGACGGCTGTCCTCCGCCTGGACCGCCGGGATGGGCCGGGCTAAGGCTGCGTTTCTGTGCCCCACCAGTCCTCAGGGCTG